GAGAAAAATCATAATTTTTTTTTAGCGCGAAATATCAAAGTTGCGCCCTATTAATATGGAGTCAGATAAGAAACACGATAGAACTATAAAAATGAAAATTAAAAAAAAAGAGAAGAAGAAGAAATGGTGGTGGTGGTCGTCGTCGTCGCCCCCCAGAGCGAGCGAAAGAGGCCGCGCAGCAACAGAACAACAACCTCTGACCCCAGCAAGAGTCGACAACAGAGAAGCCACTGGACCAATTTACTAAAACGCAAAGGTTGTTCCGTCTCTCTCAAAGGTTGCATTTTTATGCACTTTGCTTTGCTTCTGAAACAACCCCAGATTATTGCCCTAATTCCCCAAATCTCTCCCCTCTTTGCGATCGCCTCCTCACCCCCCAAATTCCCGACCATGTCCGCCCCGATCGTCGGCGGCGGCGGAGGCGAGGCGGGGGGTCCGGCGGCCGGGGTCTGCATAAACGACATCCTCACCGACGACGAGCTGAGGTCGGTCCTGGTGAAGCTGGAGTCCGAGAAGGACAAGGAGATCTTCGGTCTGGTGTGCAAGAGGTGGCTCGCGCTCCAGAGCTCCGAGCGCCGGAAGCTGGCCGCCCGCGCGGGCCCCCACATGCTCATGATGCTCGCCGCCCGGTTCGGCCGGGTCGTCGAGCTGGACCTCTCGCAGTCCGTCTCGCGCTCGTTCTACCCGGGCGTCACGGACGCCGACCTCGCCGTCGTCGCCAACAAGTTCAAGCGCTTGAAGGTTCTCAATCTGAGCAACTGTAAAGGTACGGCTTTTTTTTTTTTGGTTGTCCCTAAACTGTTTTATTGCTCAATCTTTCTGAATATGGGATGAGTCTCTTTTGGGATAGAATTGACTTTTTGCTGGTTGTTGTGTATTCTTTGTTTGTTCCGGATTGATTATATTCTTATTTGTACCACTGCCAAAACTGTTTTGCGCAAGAGCCATGCTACTGTGGTACTGATATTAATCACTTTACAGGTGCACTGTAGATTACCTATTCATAGACGATTTTGTTTCTCCTGTGTTGCAGGAATAACTGATAAAGGAATGCTAGAACTTGGAGATGGTCTTTCGTCCTTGCAGTCATTAGATGTATCCTTCTGCAGAAAGCTGACGGACCGGGGATTGGGGGCGGTTGCTAAGGGTTGTCATGATATGCGCACCCTGCATCTTGCCTCTTGCAGATTTGTCGGTGATGTATTGTTAATGGGTCTTTCACGGAATTGTCCCAACTTGGAAGAGTTGGTGCTGGAAGGATGCACCAATATAACTGATCAAGGAATCACGGACCTTGTTAGTGGGTGTCAACAAATCAAGCTGTTAGATATTAGTAAATGTAGCAATGTAGGAGACGTGGGGATCTCCAATGTTGCAAAGTCTTGTTCTTCTTCTCTAAGGACCCTTAAGTTGTTGGATTGCTGTAAAGTAGGAGATCACTCCGTTTTATCCTTGGCCAGCTTTTGCACGGGTCTTGAAACCCTCGTTGTTAGTGGTTGCCGTGATATCTCTGACGAGTCTATAAAATCTCTGGCAGCTGCATGTGGAAATAGTCTCAAGATCTTGGGAATGAATTGGTGTTTGAACATATCCGACTTGTCTCTGAGCAGCATCCTTGCTCGATGCAGATATCTGGAGGCTCTTGACATTGGGTGTTGTGAAGAGGTGACTGATGCCGCCTTCCAAGGTCTGGCTAGCGTGGACGATGAATTGAGTTTGAAGGTTTTGAAAGTCAGCAACTGTCCCAATATAACAGTGACGGGATTAGGCATTATTTTGGACAAATGCCTCTCCCTGGAATATCTCGACGTGAGATCATGTCCACATATTTCAAAGGCAGCTTGTGATGAGGCTGGGTTACGGTTTCCTGACTGTTGTAAGGTCAACTATGCTGGCAGGTTGTCCGAGCCTGATATGTTACTTTAGCCGCTTGAATTGGTACATCAAGCATTGTCGCCCAATTTTCAAGCGCAAAAAGAAACTGATGAAGTTTCAGCTATGGGAGATAAAAAAAAGTTTAAGCAGTGGATTTTCCTTGCAAGACTTACTGGGTACATCTGTCTGGGGTGCTATACCACAACTGGGAGGGGTATCCATCTGTTCCTAGTGCTTGTGCATTTTGTGATGGATATTGAATGGAGAGTCATTTGATTTGAGTTATATGTAACCAGAAGTTTATCTATGTAAATTGCAGCAAACTTGCTTTCTTTCCTGACATTCCTACAAATTTTATTACTCTTCAATGCTCCTTTCTATCTCCAGCATGCACTGGGTGTTGGCATACTAAGGCAGTGCCTTATCTGTATATTTTCCGCAAATTCTCCTCAAGCGATTATGGATTAGATAGACTATTATGCAGAAGAGGGTATTGGGATAAGTTGCACTTAGATCAACACGAGTATTCTCTGTTTTGCTCTGTGGCTGGAAGTTTGATTCCAGCAAACAGTTCACGAGCAAGTTACCTTATAAAATTTGTGAAAATCCTCAGTGTTTGGTTTGCACTATCTTGAAACAGAGTTTAATTGATCTATCAGAAGGAGCCATGGCCTCTTCGGTTCTTGTGGCAGGTGAAGTTGTAAATACTTTCTATTCTGCTGTTGCCTGGACTTGCTCAAGCTTATTTGACTAATCCAAGTTCCTTAGTTTGAAGGATCATGGGAATCTGTCTTGACTTAAATTTTTCATTCCCCTGAAGATTAGAAGAAAGGATGCGGATGCTACACATTGTAGGGTATCCTTGAGGGAGTGAGAGGGAATGGAATCTTATTGGAATTGAGATGGTACTTTTAAGGTAACATGTGATATGTGATGACATCTTTCTCAAAAGGGTCATATTGTTTCAGCAAATAGCTCCATTCCTCGATTTTAAGCATCCTTATGCTATTTGCATTTGCCTAATGTCATTCGCTTCTAGCTCCAATAGGTTCATTTAAACTTGTATTCTGGAAGGTCCTGAAGAAGGATAAACACTGGAGGGAAATTCTCTGTACTCAATATATGTCCTTATGGATAGTTTTCTTCAGTTAAGAGGATGAACGTGTCTCAAATCAAGAAATCGGGCTTGTAATGAGCAAGTCGAGAGGCTCATAAGCCGGAGTTAATTTGTTGTTTAGGACGCAAGATTCAGAATAACTCCAATTTTAGCAGCGCTGCATTACTAACAAAATTCTGTACAATTTCTGCAATCGTGTAGTTTCCACAATTCAAGTAATGAAATTGTCGCATGGGCTGTTGAGTGAGCAGCTCTTTTGTCAATTACGAGTGATCAACTTGCTATACCTGCTATGCTTGAAAGATTGCCCGTTGAAGGTGCTTCAGTGTCTTCTGATGATTTAAGAACCCCATGAACCAGAAATCAAAATTGTCGACCGTGACTATCTGTATGTACTTCTCTGACGGCCTCTCAACATTTTCACTTTGGTTTGCTTCCTCTATCTTGGAAAGTGGGATTGACACCTGTAGATAAGCAAGAAGTTCGTCATATTTAGCTTATGAGAAAAGATAAAAAAAAGGTATAAAGCAGCATAGAGCAGAAGAGTTTCATGTTCGCTTTGCCAATTACCTTGTAATGGATTCGGACAGATTCTCCATTTGGGGATGGCAATTTTATCGACCTCTCGCTGCGGAAGGCAACTTTTTCTGTAGAGATGAAGAGGAGACCCGCTATAGGACCTGCTGTTGTTGACAGATAACACTGGGAAGCCTTTGTGAGTCTCTCCCCTTCTCTGACACTAAACAGATGCCTGAAAACTTTCTCCATCCCTCCTACTTGGAGAATTCTTGCCCCCAAACTCAGCTTCCCTTTCACAGTTTCAGAGATCTTCGAACTTAATCTCGCTGCACAGTCAAAACAATAGAGTCGTTAGTTGATTTCAAGATGAAAAACAGATTGGTCACAGAATCACAAAGAAAGAGAACTTCACAAAAATTTATAGCGCTACCCTCGTTTTTCTCTAGATTGCATGGCTTATTTAATATTTAAAATACAGATCTTTGATGCTGATTCAGTCCGTGTAACTGATAAAGCGAGTTGAAATGGCTATAAGTAGCTGGTTGGACTGAATTGGCAAGTCTTAAATTATCAAAAGATTGAGTTTTCTTCCAAAGGGAAAACTGAAGGATATGTGATTCTTGTGATTTGACTTTTCCCACAAGGGGTGCACTTTACTTCCCCCACAAACTTCAAATAATTTGATCAACTCTTCATCGGATTTGCGATCTTTTCGGATGCAAAGAAGTGTAATTACCATGCTCTCGGATGCCGTGTGCGAAAACATCAGCTTTCTTTCCCAACTTGTTCATTCTTTCAAGCACTGAATTGCGCTTGGAAGACACACTTGCTGGAGAACGCATGTTAGATTGACTATGGTTGTATGGCTTGGATGAAATGGCTCTTGACGACTTCCGAACTGCGTATGTTGCAGCAATGACTGGAATTCCCATTACGTGATCAAGAAATTTGGTTGCCATCTTCAATGAGAAGTTGTTATGCTCTTTTCTCTCAAAGTACTGGCCTAGAAGCTCCTGAACTGTTAAGGAAGAAGAAAGATTTTTGCTTGCTGAAGTTTGGTTATCTTCAGGTCTATATAAAGAGGTGATAAAATGGCTGGCGACTGCCAACTTTTGGCTGCATGACTCATCTGTTGATCATCAACAGCATAAAGGCAGACTCAAAACACTTTGTTAGAGTTTTTCTGTTGATCATCAACATCATAAAGGCAGACTCAAACACTTTGTTGGAGTTTTTTAAGTAGGATGATGTGTGACCGACCCCTCCCTTGTGCTTTTAGAAAGAGGACTGTGGCAAAATCTAGATTTTCATCAAGACATTGTAAAGATAGTGGATCTGGGTTCTGCTTTTGTAATTATTTTCCCAGTAGATGGCTCAAGTTTTCTTCTTCTCATTGAACAACACCATGAATTTTAGGTTCTATGCTCATCATTTTATTTGATTCTTAGTAGAGATTTAAAATGTTCATGAATTATCCTAGTAGTAATTGCAATATATTTTGACAGATATTCTAGAAATAGATCATCGACTTTCAATGAAAAAAAATATATAGTTCCTAAACTATCTTTGTTTGCAAGTATGTGGAATGAATCTGTTTATATGTTCTTTATTCTATTTTATTTCTTTCCCGTTTTTTCTCCTGTTTGATTGGCGGGTTTGGGGTTTGCTTCCATCAGTTATACCGGTCTCTAAAAGTAATTGTGAGAAAGATAATATTATTTTGAATAAAGGGTAAACCAAACATGCTGATTTGGTGATGATCTATCCCTTTGTCTAAGCACTGTTTGGATGTGTCAACGTATTTTGCTTTTGAGCAGGAATTTTAACTTTCTGACGCCAGACCTTATTTGAATGGCACGAGAAAGGTCATTAAAAGAACTCATCATAATCTTATCACCCAAGGAAGCGACTTTGTTGGCCCAAAAAAAAGATATGTAAGACCGTGCATGATCTTTTCCATGTTCTGCAAACATGAGAATGACCCACGTCACCATGTTTAGAAATTCCATTTTCCATGATTTTGTGCAGTTTTGCAGTGTTACAGTTAGGCAATATCAGAGGATATGACAACCAAACACGTACCTAAGTATCGTGCCGTGCTGAAGGTTTGGCAAATGAACCCAAAGGCCTTTTGCTGGCGAAGCAATCACTCATCTATCTGAATCAGCAATGAAGCAGCAGTAAGCTCAATCTCATTATTCTCAAGGGAAGTTGGGGACATACTCATATCACACCTCTGTTCTCGTCATGCAGAGTTCATAGGCCAACACCAGATAACAGAAAAGAAAGAAAGAAAAAGAAAAGATAAAAGAAAGACCGGAAGAGACTACACAAAGCCACAAGTTATAGGAGCCCATGTGCAGGTTTTGCATGAATCTCTTTCACATGACCTATTCCTTTCTTTTTCTTTATTAAACCCTTGGTGCTGTGGTGTGGTTGAAATGGGCAATAGGCCATGCTGAGCTGCACATGCCTCCTAACTACTGTTTATGCCCATCTCAGTATACCACTCAGCTGAGAACAGATGAATGAAAGTAGAGCTGCTGCAAGAGCCGAGCATTTCTTTACTTTTTCTGCTTCTGAAGAGGATTGCCATGTCACGGCCAGATCAGCCTTGTCACCCACATGAGTTGATTGGTCAATTAGGGTCCTTAAGCTTTAAGGTATTAAAAGGCAGCGCGAAAGATAAAGAAAAATGTGGGGAAGCGAAAAGAGCTCATTCCCACCTAGAGTGTCAAGCAGTTGACAAAGTGTGATGGTCCGTGTCTCATCCCTTCCTATGAGGTAACTGCCAATACTGATGATTCCTGGTCAACTGTCATTTCTCTGACTTCCCAAGAAATGATAAGATAAGCAGATGATAAGGAATCTTGGAATTGCTATTCCTTTCACTTATCTGCATCTTTTCCCAAGTGGCATAATCGGGACGTTGTAACATCGGATAGTTTACGACATCACACGCAGCCGAGGACTTCTTTTAAAGATTATTGGTTTGACTGAGAGAAGATATGCAAAAGGGCAATCATCTTCCAATCAAGCAAAGAGCAGCAACCCCCCAAAATTTCATGACCTTGTCCAAGCAATCCAATAGAATAGTTGAGCCTCTGATCGACAAGCACCCAGAGGTATAAAGAGGGCAATAGGACACAATGTCGGTGACAGGATTAGGCATTATTTTGAAAGTCAGCAACTGTCCCAATATAACAGTGACAGGATTAGGCATTATTTTGGCCAAATACCACTCCCTGGAATATCTTGACGTGAGATCATGTCCACATATTTCAAAGGCAGCTTGTGATGAGACTGGGTTAAAGTTTCCTGACTGTTGTAAGGTCAACTATGCCGGCAGGTTGTCCGAGCCTGATATGTTACTTTAGCCGCTTGAATTGGTATATCGAGCGTTGTTGGCCAATTTTCAAGTGCAAAAAGAAACTGATGAAAGTTCAGCTATGGGAGTTGAAGAAAAGTTTCAGCTATGGATTTTCCTCGCAAGACTTACTGTGTACATCTGTCCGGGGTGCTATACCACAACTCGAAGGGGTATCCATCTGTTCCTAGTGCTTGTGCATTTTGTGATTGATATGGTTTGGAGAGTCATTTGCTTTGAGTTATATGTAACCGGAAGTTAATCTATGTAAATTGAGCAAACTTGCTTTCTTTCCTGACATTCCTACAATTTTATTACTCTTCAATGCACCTTTTCTATCTGCGTATGCTGGGTGTTGCATACTAATGCAGTGCCTTATCTGTATATTTTCTGCAAATTCTCCTCTAGAGATTATGGATTAGATATAGTATTACGCGGAAGAGGGTATTGGGATAAGTTGCACTTAGATCAACACGAGTATTCTCTGTTTTGGTCTGTGGCTGGCAGTTCGATTCCGGCAAACACTCTACGAGCAAGTTACCTCATAAAATTTATGAAAATCCTCAGTGTTTGGTTTACACTATCTTGAAAGAGAGTTCAATTGACCTGTCAGAATAAGCGATGGCCTTTTCGGTTGTGACAAGTGACGTTGTAAATACTTTCTATTTTGCTATTGCCTGGACATGCTCAAGCTTATTTGACTAATCCCAGTTCTTTAGCTTGAAGGATCATGGGAATCTGTCTTGACTTAAATTATTCATTCCCCTGAAGAATAGAAGAAAGGATGCGTATGCTACACATTGTAGTGTATCCTTGAGGGAGTGAGAGGGTATGGAATCTGTTGAGAGAAAAAACTGAACTAAATGCTTGGTTAGGTCTATGTGACCCCAAGCTATCTATTTATAATAAAGCCAAAAGGCCAACATTACAATATTACCCTTATTGCTGCTATACGTAAAATAATAAAGGAAATAGACAAATATGCCCTTATTACCCAAGTACTCTCAACACTCTCTCTCAAGTTGGAGCATAGATATCACACATGCCCAACTTGACTAAAACAAGATGAAACGATTTACTCCCCAATCCTTTAGTCAACACATCAGCAAGTTGATCACTGGATTGAACAAAGGGCATACAAATTAAACCACTCTCCAACTTCTCTTTGATAAAGTGCCTGTCAATCTCCACATGTTTTGTACGGTCATGTTGTACAGGATTGTGAGCAATACTAATGGCTGCTTTATTATCACAATATAGCATCATAGGAATAGGAACAGATATACCAAGATCTTCAAGTAATCCTTTAAGGCATAACAGTTCACAAACTCCATATGCCATTGCACGAAATTCTGCTTCAGCACTAGATCGAGTAATCACATTCTGCTTTTTGCTGCGCTAGGTCACAAGATTCCCTCCTAAGAAAGTACAATACCTAGAAATAGACTTTCGTCAGGAGATCCAGCCCAATTAGCATTTGTATAGGCTTCAACTTTCAAGCCATCACGAGGAGATAAAAGAATCCCTTTTTCGGGAGCAGACTTCAAATATCGAAGGATTCGAAGAACAGCATCCATATGAGTAGAGTATGGATCATGCATAAACTGACTCACTAGGCTCACAGCAAAAGCAATATCAGGTCTGGTGTGGGATAAATAAATCAACTTGCCCACTAACCGTTGATAATGACCCTTATCTACGGGATCACCATCCTTTTCTCGAAGACGAGTATTGACCTCAATAGGTGTATCAGAGGGACAACATCCTAATAACCCAACATCTATTAAAAGATCAAGGACATATTTCCTTTGGGATAAAAAGATACCTTTTGAAGATCTGGCAACTTCAATACTAAGAAAGTATTGGAGCTTTCCAAGATCTTTTATTTCGAACTCTTGTCCAAGAAATTTCGTCAACCGGCTTATCTCATCAGTATCATTCCCTGTGACAATAATATCGTCTACATAGACAATAAGAATAGTCACTTTAGCACCTGATCTCTTCACAAACAAAGTATGATCAGCATTACTCTGTTTATACCCAACAAAGATCATAGCTTTTTGAAACCTATCAAACCAAGCTCGAGGTGATTGCTTCAAACCATAAAGTGCACGTTTCAGCTTACACACTTTACCTCGGGTTTTGTCACAAGAAAAACCTGGAGGAATCTCCATATATACCTCATCTTCTAACTCTCCATGAAGAAAGGCATTCTTCACATCTAACTGCTGAAGATCCCATCCCTGGTTTACAGCACACGAAAGTAACACTCGAACAGTATTCAACTTGGCAACAGGAGCAAAGGTTTCTTGATAGTTAATCCCATAAGTTTGACTAAATCCCTTTGCCACCAACCGTGCTTTATATCTGTCCACAGTACCATCCCTTTTCTGTTTGACTACAAACACCCACTTACATCCTACCGGTTATTTCCCAGGAGGAAGAACAACAAGATCCCACGTGTCATTTTTCTTCAAAGCATGCATTTCCTCCACCATTGCTGTCTTCCACTTCTCATCTGCAAAAGCTTCTTGCCAATTCCGTGGAATAGAAACAGAAGATAGAGAAGATACAAAAGTACGATAAGAGCTGGACAAAGAGTCATATGAAACAACATTGGATATAGGGTGTTGAGTACAAGTTCTAATACCCTTTCGGAGTGCGATAGGAAGATCAGAAGGAGAAACCTCACCAGAAGGAGTAGTAGAATCCGGATCCGGAGATGATGACCGAATAGGCAATGTATCAGTGGTCTTAACTTGTGTGTTGATAGTGGAATTTCTACAACGATATGTCTTCAATGTTTCCCTACTGTCAATCCGCCTTTGAAAGATACCAATACTTTGCTTAACAGGTGTGATCTCCCCCTGAACCTCTGATATCTACCCCTGAGGTATTGCATTATTCTCTACTTGTGTTGCATCGTTCTCCTCTTGAGAAGGAGGAGAACCATCATAGACTATTGGAGGAGGAGGAGGAGAAGGAGAAGAGTAAGTAATATTCTCAAGAACATCTAGAATTGGCAACACCTCTACACTAGGACACTCCCCTGAAGAGGTGAAGCTCAATAATAAGAAGTAGACTCATGAAAAATCACATCCATAGATATAATACTGCGCCTAGAAGGAGGATGATAACACTTATAACCCTTTTGAGTAGTTGAATACCCAAGAAATATGCAGCGGAGACCGCGGGGTTCCAACTTACTCTTAGAGGTAGTGTTACGAGCATAACAGACACAATCAAAAATTTTTGGGGGAAGAATAAAAGTTGATGATCCCTGTAAAACATCAATAGGTGTGCGGAAATCAAGAATTCTAGTCGGCATTCGATTGATTAAACAGGCAGCGGTTAAAATAGCATCACTCCAATATCGAGAGGGGACATGACGTACAAACATAAGAGACCTGGCGACTTTTAACAAATGTCGGTTCTTTCTTTCGGCAACACCATTCTGTTCTGGGGTATCAACACAACTGGTCTGATGAATAATGCCATGATCAAAGAGATACCGTTGAAACTGACCTTCAGTGTACTCAGTGCCATTGTCACTGCGAATAATTTTCACAGTGGCGTCGAATTGAGTTTGAATCATTTTGTGAAAAATTTGAAAACAATGAAAAACATCACTCTTATGTTTCAACAAATAAACCCAAGTTGCACGAGAATGACAATCGATAAAAGTAACAAACCATCGATGAACAGAAATAGAAGTACGTCGAGAAGGACCCCACACATCAGTATGAATCACATGAAAAGGGAAACGACTTTTATTATTTGAAGATGAATATGTAGAACGAGTTTGTTTAGCAAAGACACAAGCTTCACAAAAAAACTCATCTTTATTACAAGCTGAAACGAGACTCGGGAAAACTTTTTCTAAAGTTCCTAAAGGGGGATGACCTAATCTGCAGTGCCACTGATGGAGATCTGTCAATGCTGAAGGGCGTAGTAGACGAAATAGAAGTAGAAACCCCACTACCCTCGAGCAGATAAAGACCACCATCGAATCTCCTTCTCCGTTACCAGATCCTGGAAAATACAGTAAGAAGGAAAAAAAGTTACTTTACAATTTAAGTCTCGAGTCAGACTACTAATAGAAAGGAGATTAGTAGAGAATGATGGAATATGTAAAATAGAAGACAAAGAAAGTGTGGAGGAACAATTAATAGACCCTTTTCCAGCGATGGAAGAGAGGGTTCCATCAGCTACATGAACTTTGTCTCTATCGGAAGTAGGGGTGTATTGATGAAAGAGACTAGAAGAACCTGTCATATGATCTGTAGCCCTTGTATCAATGATCCATGGGCTGGAAACAACAGATATATTAAACCCCCCAAAAAAGATACCTGAAGTGGCTAGATTTGAAGCAAAATGGGAAGACGAATTGGCAACTGTAGAGGAAGCAACAATAGTAAAAGCTTTCAGTAAACGTCGAAATGCCTGAAGTTCTTCCTGGGATAAACCGATATCAGTAGTAGGTATAGCAGTAACAGTTTCAGTATGATTTGCTTTGTTTTTTGCCTTTCTTTGTGCCTTTTTTTCCTCAAAATCTGCAGGTTTTCCATGTAACTTCTAGCAGGTAGCCTTAGTATGATAAGGCATATGACAATATTCACAGACATTGTGTCACTGGTAGTAGGCTCAAATTATCCTCCAAAAAAATCGGCTAGATCAGATCAAGGGAAGAAAAAAATCGATTTTTTCAAGGTTTTGAAAACTTGAAAGAAATCGATAATTCTAATTTATCCCAAAGAATCTGAAAAAATATGGTGGTTCACGAACTGCAGTGCTTTGGTCTTCACACACGAGAGAATTGTAGGCCAGCGGCAACACAGAAACAATTCCAGACAAGAAGATCCAAAAAATCACAGAAGAAGTTGAACCACCTATCGCGGACTGCAAAGAATTTTTAGTTATCTCATAGAGGTGAAGTTTAGGGCAGACACTAGATTCAAAGAATCACCTCATTAGTGCTGCCCTACATTGTGAAAGAGAGCAAATGAGAAGATGAGAAGGAACTGCGGTGGGAGAGAGTGAAGGTGTGAAGAGAGGACAAAGAAAGGTTGTGTAGAGGAGAGATTAGGGTTAGGGTTTCAGTTTAGATCCGGCTCTGATACCATGTTGAGAGAAAAAACTGATCCGGCTCTGATACCATGTTGAGAGAAAAAACTGAACTGAATGCTTGGTTAGGTCTATGTGACCCCAAGCTATTTATTTATAATAAAGCCAAAATGCCAAAATTACAATATTACCCTTATTGCTGTAATACGTAAAATAATAAAGGAAATAGATAAATATGCCCCTATTAGTCAAGTACTCTCAACAGAATCTTAGTGGGAC